CTCTTCCCATGAATGAGGAGGTGTATTAAAACTAAAATTGTTTTTACTACAATTGTAAATTTTCTCGATTACTGATTGAGATAGAGCCGTGATAAATGAAAATACATAACATGGTCGAAATATTATTTTTCTTCTGGGATTGCTATCTAATTGCTATCTTTTTTGACCAAGGTTTGTGCCATCTCATTGTCAAAAGTTTTGACTTCGTCTCGTGGAAGGAAACAATTTTGACGCCGATTTGATGACACCAACCGTGGTAAATAAAAAGACATTGACCACGAGAACCTATCATGAATTTGTAAAATATGTATAGAGATCGATAAGTATATATGAAATACCTTGGAATAATGTAGGATGTTGTATTTTTAGTTTATCGAATTCTCCTCTAATGGCATCCAATATTTTATCCTCGCCTTCTTCCCATGACTGAATAAGAACATTCAAATAGGCTTCACTTTCAGGGTCAATTGACTCGATTTTCAGACGCTGGATTTCTGGTTCATACTGCAATCCTCCAAGTCTTATCATTGCTGCCTCAATTTCAGCCCAGTGGTTTCCAAAATCAGCATCAGAGAGTTCTGCGGCTGTGCTATGACCAGTGATTTCATTTCGGCATCGTTTTACTCGAATTAGATCAGCCTCTTTGCTAACATCAGCTGGAGGTGGTGCAGCATCCCATCCTGTAGTAGGTGGAGTCAGACCACAGGTATTCCTTAAGAGAAGGAAGAGCAGTGTTATGTCGAAGGTAGTCGATAATGGTACTCCTGATGGTGGGTATAATCTTTGCCATTGTTGCGCGTTAACCACTCTTTTMTTTCTGAGATTTTTCAGTATAGAGTTAACAGCGGATGAGTTGAGATGTTTCTGTAGACTAGCAGGTGGGTGTAAGGAATCTAAAACGTCTCTCAACACTTTTGTCCCAATGTCCGTTAGWAGTCTGCATATTCTAGAGTAATTGGTCTTTTGACGGCTTGATAAAGTCGATGGCAATGTGCTACTAGTGGCCATTAGTCTACAGAAAGACAGAGAAGAAGTTATTGTTATTTTCTCACTTCAAATTACAGCACAACGTCAGTCGACCGTGTGTTTTGAATTATCTTACCTTTTATGTAATCATGGTCAACGCTTCGATTCTTCGACGACATTCCCTGATCTTCTCCTCATCTTGAATTGCTTCGAAGGTGAAATCTGATACTAACAAGTATGGCGTCTTAGCTAGAAAATAAAAACAACAAACAAAAATAAACAATCTTACTGAGCTGATTCTGTTACGAAAACTCATAAAAACTGGAACACTAGCAAGCGTGGATTGAGGTTATGGCTACTGACAGCAACAGATGAAATATAATCTAAGAACTCTTTTACCTTTTTGCAATAGTTTCCAAACGTTTTGTTCATCTAAGCTAAGGCATAATTGATCTTTACGAGGCTTTTTGTCGACTATACTTTATTTGTTTTCCAAAGGGACTAAATGGCTTTCCTTCAGCTCACAAGATGACATGGCAAGACTGCTTTGCAACAATTACAGAGCTACATCGCTGCCATATTTTCTATACTGTTTGATATTGGCGTCGCTATAGGATAAGTAAATATGGAAAAATACTGTTACAAAACGATTTTCGAAACCTAATCCCCTCTATTTGCTGTTAAGTATAGGAAGTTAAAGGGAAGCAATCTATCACTTTTGTTAATTTCCAATGTTTACAATCTATCATTCCATTGCTATATATAGTGACTTGACCAAGGGCGCCAGGACAACCATAACCGTTATGGCAGTTTTTGAATGATATTACGATTGTATTTGTTGTAGCTTTGTTTCATGGGGTATTTTAGTGAACTTAAGGTAAATTCCTTAACTATATTAACGATATTAGTGACGTAGATTGCATACGCGCGGTTGCATAAGCGGACGGTACGTACCAGTACGTAATAAACGGCCGTTAAATAACGTGGCGTACTGAAATAAACACGTACAGCTTTTAGTTAGCTTTTGACCTTTAGGAGTGGGGAAAATTGCACACCAATCGCCTAAAATCTATCTATCTATTCAAGGGAATTCGGGATACACTCAAGATATGCACAAGAAGTCAGATAAGTGAATTTCTACGATACTTAAAGCTACAACAAATACAATCGTAATATCATTCAAAAACTGTTATGGTTGTCCTGGCGCCCTTGACTTGACTTCTTGTTCTTCCTCAGTGATTCCAACGCTTTATGAACATTCCCAAGTTGCCCAAATCATTACGATTAACAATTATTTTTCGCTTATTTATCTTTTGAATTTGTAAATACAGAAGTACCAAGTGAAGATATGGAACTATCTGAAAAGTTTTCTTAACTTGGTTGATCAAAAGTCAAGCGAATAAAATGGTAGCCCGCCGTGATGACAAAATTACCGGCATATTTTCATAAATTGAGTTCCATTAATTAATATTGTTTTTTTCTCCGGAAAAAATTCAATTCTATCACAAGGCTATTGCACTAAATAACAATGAAACTGCATTTACGCTTTCTTGCGAAGTTAAAATAAAACATTGTAATTATTAAACTTTATGCTGTTAACTATTTAATGCATATTCGGTTCTACATTCGTTGTTTACTTGACTTCTTGTTCTTCTTCAGTGATTATATCGCTTACAGGAACTTTTCGACAGTACTTGAAAATCATCTTGATTTGAGAAATTGTGTGTTGTATCGTTTTAATTGGTAAGAGAAAAAGTAGAAGCAACAATTAATGCATTGATACATGCACAAAACAATCTTGTTTGGTGGTGCTTCTAGTAAAGAAAGCAATCAATTTTAAAGATTTGCATTATTTATGGACGCCAATACAGGAAACAGAAACATTTCTAAGCTATCAAACGATAATCAAAATCATTTTTAATCAATAAAAAGCTTGAAAACGTTTTCTTCACTTTGACGCTTCCAACCACCGACTAAATTTCAGTGAGACTTGTAAACCGAGATCGTTCTTCTGTACTGATGAGTGGACACTCAAAAACGTCAACAGGAAAAACATATCGTGAACGACGTTTGTATTGTACATAAACATAACGGTTATAAAATTTCAATTGAAATTGTCCTACTTTACCTTGTTCTGTAGGAACGGGCTCTTGTTGAAGACTTTARTGATTTGATGTAGGTTGCGCTTTGAAGAAGTGACTTGGACCTCCGTCGAAATATCAGACGTCAGATTCTGATATAAATGTGGGTGTGTTTAAAAATCAACAATTTACGCACTGCAGATTTCATAAGAATGTCCCGCTATTTCTATTGTTTGTCAAAAAGAATGGATATTGCATGACAGAAAGGTATTGTGGATATTTTGTACTTACATTTCCGCCGAGCCTCTATTGACGTGACACTTTTCAAAATTTACATTTAAGTTACTTTTGACATAAAGTACAGTCAGCCTTTATTTTACACCGCAACACAGTCCATAAATTTCCCTTTATTATACTTAAGAATGGCGAAGTAATCTAAAGCTCTGTTTCGATGTCATTATGGAGATGAGCTGTGAATGTAAAAATACTGTGAATTTCAATATTTTGCCTCAGGAGGTTTCACTTGTAGGCAGTTTTGCTGTACACTGTGACATTTATATCCTCTGATTACTGAGTGATCTAGGTATAATGGTCGGAGGAATGGAATTATCACTGATGTCCTTTTTCTGTCCTGGTTTCATATATATTAGATATTTCTACTGTGACATTTAAATCCTCTCCCTTCCCCCCACGGGATCATTTTCAGTATTACGGATTACTGAGTGATCTAGGTATAATGGTCGGAGGAATGGAATCATCACTGGTGTCAATTTTTCTGTCCTGGTTTCATGGATACCATTAAGATTCGTCGTATTTGGATCTTGGTTCTGTTGCTTGTTTGCCACACGCTGGTGTTTCTCTCTGTTTCATGGTTTCACTATATAGACAACGTCTACATCATTTTTATGTTATGCTTTACCCTGGGGGTAGCTGCAGGGTGCGCTTCCGTCCACTGCTATACTTTGGTAGCTGACCTCTTCCCCGATTCCAGGAAACTTGGAAAAGTTCTTGGTTATATTGAAGTGTCTACATCTACATCATGAAGGTTGTCAGGAGCACTGTTGGGTATCTTCGTAGAAACTTACCTGAGAGAGCACTAAGAACATCGATTGTTGTTGGGTAGTTACTGTTTAGCGAGGCTTCCTTCATCTGAAAAGTGGAGTACTTCAGCCTGCATACGTTGAACTGAGCTGCTACGCCACTACGCCTCTACGCCACTACGCACACTACGCCACTACGCCACTACGCCACTACGCCACTACGCCACTACGCCACTACGCCACTACGCCACTACGCTCACTACGCCACTACGCTCACTACGCCACTACGCTCACTACGCCACTACGCCACTACGCTCACTACGCCACTACGCCACTATGCTACTACGCTACTACGCCACTATGCTACTACGCCACTACGCCACTAAGCGACAACGCAAATTGGCTACTACGCCACTACGTCACTATGCTACTACGTCACTATGCTACTACGCCACTATGCTACTACTCCACTATGCTTCTATACGCCACTACGCTGCTACGCCACTACGCTACTACGCCACTATGCCACTGAACAGGACATCGTACTTTCTCGTTAATATTGTATATTGTATAAGATGTTTGTTCATTGTATATTGTTGAAAAAATTATATAATAGTTTAAAATTGAAAATCAAGTGAATTTTTACCCTTTTGTTAACTATATGTGCCTTTGAACTAACGTGAGATAATTGTCGTTCTGGGCCGAGTTGTTAAATACTCGATTAGCGTTAACCCAGGCCGGGGGTTAAATCTCTAGGTTTTTTAAGAGTTAACCCAGAATTAACGCTAATGGAGCTTTGAACAACCCGCCCCATTGAATATAAGAACGTCAGTAGCCCACGGCCACTATCATTTTGAACTATTCTTTTGTGAAAACAGAAACCTTCGTGAGCAGCCTAAAATATGAGAAAACTACGCAAACTACGCGAGGTTAGAGCGTATAAGTTTACAAAGCGTTTATCTTACAACAGGCTGGGTGTATTTAGAATATTTTAGAAACACCGACACATGTACAGCCCACACTAGATTACTGCTAGTTTCCACAATTTTGACTATTATAGCAAAAGTTATGTTTCAAAATCCATTTTGATAGTATCGCATTCGGCATGCACGAATCATATTTACAATGTTAATATGTACACAAGTGCGTTTACCCTGTAGTCATAGGCTTAATCTTAATTGTTTTCAAATGCTAAGTTGTGTCCCTTTTGCTGATTGCCAAGGCTCTTTCGCGACACTCTGGCTTCATCGGGTTTTCCTTGATCCTTTAACAGCGATTATAAATTATATAACGTCTCAATCAATATGGGATGATTGCTGCCGTAGGCGCTCTCATTAATTGCGAGTACTCTTTCGTAGTAGTCTTTAGCTTCTTCAAGTTTGTCGATACATTATGAGAGCACTGCCAGAGCTTCTAAACTGTTAGCTATATACGGATGGCTACCACCGCGTCTTTCTTGGTTGATTTGAATGGCTTTGTCCAGATGCTCTTTAGCTTTTTGATAACTCTTCATTTTGAAAAAAATATTCTCCTAAATGCCAATGACTGCTTCGTCCGCTTGGATTGCCAGTGCTTTATCGTAACAATCTTTCGCTTCATCAAGTTTTCCGAGTTCGTTCAACACAAATCCTAAATTATTTAACGTTGTAGCCACCTCAGGATGATTGCTGCCGTAAGTGCTTTCGTAAATTGCCAGTGCTTTATCGTAACAATCTTTCGCTTCATCAAGTTTTCCGAGTTCGTTCAACACAAATCCTAAATTATTTAACGTTGTAGCCACCTCAGGATGATT